AAAGGCTACTTCGTTGTAATCTCATTATTATTGTTAATATTGTGTTAATGGTAAAATAATGTTTGAATGCCATTGCCTCATTGTTAGCCTCACTTCACTACAGGCCTTAGCACCTCAGAGCTCTAACTTGTCTCATTCCTCTACCATTACTTCTCTATCGTTACTATCATGTTATTAGTACTGTATTTATGTATTAAGGGTTTAATTACCCAAATTTGAGGCTGGTAGATTAACTACAACAACTAAAAGACCCGCGTGGCTAATATTCTACATCAATCTGAACCGCTATACTTCGCCGCTAACCACCTTCGTTAAAGGTCCATGCTTGTTATTCGTCTCGACTTGGCAGCTTCGCCTTCGTGTCGAGTCAGGTCTTCATCAGTGAGCCATCTCCTCGAATGAGGCATCCTCACTCATGGAGGCATGGACCATCGACTCGGATCATCGGCTCTGAGGAAGACGAAGACGTCGAAACGTTAGCCGAAAATAAATATCATTATCAACCTCGTGTAAGCTCATCAAAGGAAGAATACATATTGATTAGTGATACCGAGGTTCAAGGAAAGTCGGTTTCGAAATATTACTACGCTTTGTGCTAGCTGATAACAACACCGGCTTCTGCACGATGTGCGCAATGATATATGTCCAGAAGAAAAACAAGTTGTTTTCACCGGACATTATCATTATATCGACCATCAGCATCGTGTATAAAAGGGCAACACTGAGTGAGGATGCCTCATTCGAGGAGATGGCTCACTGAAGAAGACCTGACTCGACACGAAGGCGAAGCTGCCACGTCGAGACGAATAACAAACGAGGGCCATCGACTCGGATCATCGGTTCTGAGGAAGACGAAGACGCCGAAACGTTAGCAGAAAATAAATAACATTATCAACCTCGTGTAAGCTCATCAAAGGAAGAATACATGGTGATAGGAGTATCCCGTTCCACACAAGTAAGCGATGGGATCCGAAGCTCCGTTCTGCGTCAACGATCAAAAATCAAAGGTGCCGTTCTTTACGCCAAACAGTCAAAGATAAGGTGGGCCGAACACGTAATGCGTATTAATGATAACCGATGGGCAAGAGCTGTTAGTGACTGAATTCCTCGGCATGTCAAACGTACTGCAGGAAGACCAGCGACCCGATGGTCAGAGTTCTTCACAAAGAGCCTTGAGGAAAGATATGATGCTCGACGAGTCCCTAGAGCGAGCAGAACCCACTAGGCTACTCTTGCATAAAAAATGGAAAATTTACTGGCGCCCACTCGAGTCACTCGATGATCAACGGGACTACAGGTTGACAGGTGAATGCCTTTCATTTTCGTTGGAGTTTAGGGTACATTATACCGATTTGCTGGCAATACTTTTCTGTCGTAATCGTTTCGCTCGAATTCAAAGATGTGATGAATCAACTAGGCTGTAGACCACTAAACCGTGACCATAACCTTATTTTGGAACAATTTCGGCTTTGGGAAGTGCCCAGGCGCCTCATCGCAATCGAACCTTTGAGCTGAACCTTGCCGGTTGTCGTACAGAATGGGCTTCTCGTCGCACTTCAGAATTCGGTAGAGAAAAAGGGTCGCTTTTGTTGAGCAGAATGGGAGCAGGCGAAACTTCAAAACGGCATTGTTTTGAATATCGTTTAATTCGTGCGGTGTCCACTTGTCGAGTTTTTTTTTGCCTTCCCTATGCGATTCAAGTGAGAGGAAATTGTTCCTGTTCTTACACTAGGCTGTTCTGCAAGCTCACGAGCAGTTGTTGGCGTGTTTACTTCTACCAGTGTCTTCGTCGCAGAGTTCATTGGGGCGTACGAGGCCCTTCCTATCTTTGAGGTCGAAATCACCAGATCGGAATTTGCGGAACCACGTTCGCACTGCTAATTCACCAACACTACCTTCATCCCTAACTTGATGATAATCCGAGCTCCTGCCGCAGCGTTGTGTCCACTTTCCCATTCGTACAAAAAAGGAGACGAATATCACGCTGATTCACACTAAGGTTAAAAAAGCCCATAAAAATTTTAAAATTATTGATCTTGAAAAAAACCAATAATGGATATAAAAAGAGCAGACTTGTGGTTTAAAAACGTATATTGAATATATACAAAAAAATCTTTACTCGAAAAATTACGCGGAAAATTAAAACAATAAAATCGGACATTTTATATACTAACCTAATATACTGCGCTCAGAGCACACCAAGCCTTGTATCCCACCTTGGCCAGGAAATTCTAACTGGAGCTGTCCGTGAGGAAAACACTAATGACCTGATTCATCGCTGGGCCAGTTCAAGTCACTGTAATATGCCTAAAATCACCCTTACGGATGCTTAGTGATGTTGAATGTGCAGCTGATCCCTTGGCTTTATCATGTTTATCCATTATGTCGTTGCTGAAGTCCTTTTGTGAGCCTTATAGTCCGATATGAAGGTTCATATCCACGTAATGTGATCTAAGCTAATAATGAAATCGATATTTCCATCCGAAAGTTAAAATAGGGATAAATCTATGCTATGGCGGAACTAGGGGCGCTACCCGTGGATATCTTCTTCCTGAAAACGGTAAGAAAAGCGTCATGCCAAAAAGATGACGTTCTTCGTGTCTGGCGAGTCAGTGGAACCGTTCTATTTTCTGATTTTCCAAAAACAACTAGAAGAAATAAACTTCGAAATACAACTAGAAGAGTTCTGAGTTTTGCTTAAAACCAATACGGGCTATTGCAGTTGCAGGATTCTTTAAGGCAAAGTTACCTGATCCAAGAAAGGCGAGTAGTCATCGAAAATTGAAGCGTTTAAGTGTGGAAAACTGTCGATAACGACTCGCCACCTACAACCGCTATTAGTTAAAACAATGATACTTCACAGAAATTATTACGAACAAAATGGTCCACTAGACAATATGTTACCTTTCCAACATGTTTTTCCTAACACTGTCTTTACCCATGTCTTCTCCATGATATGCCACCGTTGCCCAGATACGATTCAATCTAAACTTCAATACTTTAATTAAAATTTATTCCACCACCACATCCAGAGGACGAACGACGTGGGACCATTGACTCGGACCATCGGCTCTGGGAAGGACGAAAACGTCGAAAGATTAGCTGAATAATATCGACCTCGTTAACTCAAAAAAACTGCATCGGCTTAATTCATCCGAAACATCTTAGTATAAGCAAAATATAAACGAAGAAGCCAAGTAAAAAGTCCAACGCGTTTCCTCAACAAGACGCTTAGCAGAATTCAAACAGTGCCAAAATTAAACGAAAAAAATGAGCTTGTGAGGTAAGCAAGCAATCACAAAGGTAAAAGTAATCACGTCATCTCATGTTAGTGGCATCAGTAGAATTGCCAAAACACTGGCAAGTGTTGTCGTCAGCCCGATAGAGCCAGCGACTGAGTACAGACGCTGTCGGCTTACTTCTAGAAGCAATTTTGCACTATGCGTGTTGACTTTCCGCGTCGTTCTATCAATATGCGCGAATTATGCTTCCTTCTTTTTTTACATCCTCTCAACGGTTTGCCGCCTTCGCGGCTGGGAGGTGCTCCTCGGACTGTGAGGTGCAACGGGGGACTCGTCCACCCAACAGGGTCTCCCAAGCTGAGAAAGAGAACGGTGTTTCTATCAGAAGCTTAGCTAAGAGTAAACCAATACCGGCATCCACCACCGCCCTGGTATTACGGTCGCATGGTGGAAAATCTCCCTCTGATCCACAAGAGCGGAGACTGCCTGTGGTAGTGAAGACGTAGTGAAGACCTGAGGCAGACTTTGGCCAGGCTAACCTCGGGATTCCAGGGAACCACAATGGCTTAACTAGCAAACTTCCGAAAAATGGTGATTGTGCTGGGGCCAGGACAACCAGGAAGGACGGGGCGTTCAAGTATCAAATAAGTAATTAAAGGAGAAAAAAGGATAAAGCACTCGGCGTTGATCAATCTCTGAGGGATGCGCCATGCATTCGGCTTCATTAAATATCGTTGGAGATGACTGAATGCATGTCTGGTCTTTACAATGACTTGCGGCGGCCTACCGTTATATCGAGCCAGTGCTCCGATTCTCCCAAATACCAATTTGCCGAGTCCGGGGAGATGGAAGGCTTGGCGAGCCATGGTCGCAGAGATCGATTCCAAGCGTGTGTCGTGGTGGCGCCTCTTAACACTGCGCCACACGCGCACAAGTATCCCCTTTTATATTGTATTTCGGTAGGATTAGCCGAATACTGTCGAAAATAAGTGCGTTTGTGTGATATGCAAATAAAGTTGAGTCGAAAGATTTTGGCGTTTGCGAATAGCAACCGTAATGACGAGAGCGAGCATACCACCCAACGCTTAAAACGAGTAGCTCCTTTTCTGGAGATGTACATCATTTTTATTCAACGTTTACAATTGCTTCCAGTAGTTCCTTTTCACTATTTTTTCCTTTCTGCATTTTTTTCTTTGATAAACAAAAGTAAATAAACGCAATCGCTTCTCGGCACTGCACTCAACAAGCTTGTGTGTTAATAGAGGCGGTTTTCAGCATATTTTTTAACATGACCCGTCATTACTTCTACTGTGTGGAACCCAGCACTTCTTGTACTTGATTCGTTTTCGTCGCTTTCAATGTCTACAATGGTTGGTCTTCGAACATTTCGCATTTTGTTTCGGATGTTGCTTGCCTGTTTCGCCTTCTTTATAGGTGTTCTAGAGTTGGTAGAGTCGATTCTCCTTGCCTTGCATTCTTGGAGATAGCCGGGCTAAGACGTTTCCCTGTGCAATGGAGGAGAGCGTTGGGCAAGGATTGAACAAAGGCCTTTGCTTTCCTCATCGACAGCATAACTAACAACTTCGTTATCCCCTCTCCTTTTCACTATTTTACAGACCTTTTTGATAGTTTGTCTGAGATTATCCGGCTTTTAAGTTCACTAAGCACAGTAAATAAAGGAACGAATAAATGAATAGGCTTGAGAAATCCAATATAAGGGATAGAAAAACTCTTAGGTAATCCGTAGATTATAGATGCTCACCTTCCATGCTCGTCAAATTTCACGAATCCATTCCAGTGCCTGAATTCAGGCCATGAGAAGAACGGTTGCATAGCAGATCTGGAGAAGGCGTCACTTCGATTTGAAGCCGCAACGTCCATGCCAAATGATGTCTCGTCGTCAAACTCCACCATTTCGTTGAAGAGTTTATAGTCACTGAAATTCGAGCAGGTATAGTTGAATTCACTGTTTTCTTGATTGAAATATGGTTTGCACTAAATCACTGCAACTAAAATGCCGTTGGAAGAAATTTATGTATAAACTGCAAGAAACTAATGGATTCCTACACTACTTTTGTTACACGAGAGATAATTTGGGTAATCTATAGCTTATGGATCCTCACTTTCCATACTTGTTAGAAATTCATTTTTTAGACTGCCGCAAACTCTTACCCACAGAAAATTCACGCGCTACATGTCTCTACATGTCTGTAATTGCCCTACTGTAATAATAATTTAAAAACTTGTGTTTTATCCGAAACGAGATGCCGGTTATATTGGTTTCTATTTTCCACCATATTCCCACTGGGGAACCAAGAGGTATTACTTTCTTCGTTTCTGACGACAATGCCGACGTTTCGGTGGACTGTGCCTTTCTCAGAGCCCACTAATCCCCTCCAGAGGCGCTCTTAGAGTTGATCAGACAATTCACTACATTCCCGTTGAGCAAATACGAGATGTTACATTATTCTTTATTGACGCTAATGTGGACGCTCCGGTGGACTTTGCCTTTTTTGGAGCCCACCCACTATTCTCCTCTACCGATGATTTCGCTTTTATTGATAAGCCTTACAATAAGATTAAACACGCGTATATGAAGCTGAAGGAAAGAAAACGACGATTTTTAGAAATTTAAGAAAGGGCTAAAAAAGGAATGAAGACTGGAAGAATAAAAAGGATAAAATGTAGCTCATTAGAAGCAAAAAGAAGCAGCAAATAAAGAGAATAATTCATGCAAAGTTTCTTTTATTTCGGTGAGAGCTCTGAATAGTTTGAGACGTCAAACACCCAAATGGCTAGCAAAACAAGATTCTCGTTTAGTTTAATAAGGCACAAAGGAACGAACCGAACAAAGTAATGACTGAAATTAGAACCGAGACATTCTGGAAACGACTCGAAACGTTCGATAAGCTTGTTCACTTCTGCTAACCTCTTAGGATCGTTAAGATTGCCGGGCTAAAGTAGTCTTTTAAACGAGAGATCCTTGTCTTTTAAATTAACCAAAAAACTCCATAGACAAAGAACGAAAACCATACTAAACGTTTACACTCACGTTTTGTATGAAAATGTTTGCAGTCGTATAGTTGGCGAGTATGTAATCTGCCTTTATTTTGAGCATCTGTAGAAAAAGAAACTTCGGGGTGGTTGCAAATCATTTTATCATAAGAATAAAGAAAAATAAGCCAGAAAATGAAAGATTTGTAAAAGAATAGACCACTGTATATTTTTTTAACCCAAAGCATTAAACTAAATAGTACTGTTGTTGCATATCTCGACTTTCTCTCTTTTACAATAAATCTCGAGTCTATTGTAATGAATCGCGTGTGGCGCAGTGGTCGGAGGCGCCTTGCAACACACACGTAGAACCGATCTCCACGTCATTGTAAAGGCCAGACATACACTCAGTCACCTCTAACGGTACTTAATGAACTCAAATGCATGGCACATTCATCAGGACTTGATCAACGCTGAGAGCTTTATCTTTTATTTATTGTGGTGAATCGAAGCAGGACCTATATGGTTTTATAATGCGAACATTAGCTGAATTTATCCTTGCCCTAAATGTCAAATCGATTAAGCAGATGGACTGTTCTTGTCTAAGTATTTCCTTTCTGTAATCATATTCACTGTGGTTTCCTTCAATGACTGATGCTGAGCCGTTTAGTCGTAAAATGCATGGCGTGTCTCAAGCGTCTCCAGAAGAAGGAAAGTGAGTGATCTGAGATGCCAGAGGATTCAAGGGATGGATTTCCCATTTCTGCACTGCTGGAGTGATGAGAAATTTCGACATTTTTGGGGAGATGGTGATGTGAATACGAGCAAAAAGTGTAATTCATTTCATGGAAAGACGGACTACACCACAAAGAACATGCCCATTGCCACTGACTGCTTCAAGTTTAAACGCTTCCAACAGCATTCCTATGGCAAAAAAAGAACTTTTTAAAGTTCTTTGATAAGAGAGCTAGGTTTGAAAGGTGATGCTGAGTTCTCGAAGTGATGCTCACCGTACACGAATTTGTTCATCTTGCTGGCTCCCTTGTGCTTAATGTGGTCGGAAATTCAATTTAATTAATGAATCGGTCATTTTCAAAGTTGATTAGCATGAAATGAGAGGATTCTGTACCGTAGTGAAGAATACGAAGGATGTAATGAAGAAGATGAGAACGAAATCCATTAACAACGTTCTCCATTGTGAAATAGGAGAACGGTTTTGTCTTAATTAAGCGACAGACAGGTAAGCTAGGAGCTCTATAAGTTTACAGTAATATCAAGCCCACTGGAAAATTTGAGCCCGGTTTTGTGTCGTATAGCTACAACTTTCTTATTTATTATGATGATTAGAAACAATTGATTGCAAAAACGATCACCTACCGTGTTGAGCAGCGAATCTTTGAGAACCAACTTATCATTCGACAAAGCAACACGAATACTCATCGTGCCGACAATGCTGAGCAACCAGTAGCAGACCAAGACAGCAAAAAGTGATATGGCGGTGAATTTACTGGCTAACCATTGCGAATATTCTTCCAAAAAGACGGAGAACTGTTAAGGAAATTGAAATTAAATAAAAAGCAACTAACTGGCTAAAATCCCAATTTAACTTTTACTTACTCGCTATTCCTTTTCCATGGCAAAGTATTGTATGAAGTACAAGAACAGAGAAGCTGAGATATGCGCAAAATTCGGAAACCCAGGTGAGCTTCGAAACAGCCGTTACCTTTTCCGGGTTTTCAAGTTCTCCATACTGCACCACTAAGGTCCTTATTTTGCTTTTCTCTCATCCAGTTTTTCCAACAGTGCTATTAGCAAGCACCCTTCAACGGAAATTACCCGAAGATCACAAGCCGGCATTGAAGCCAATTAAGCTGAAGCTGTAGTTAAAATTGCAATGTTTCAACTTTTATTTACTGCCTATTCTTTTTTCACGGCAAGGTATTGCATGAAATGCAACCTATTTCGCGCAACATATAGCACGTGACCTCCTGGAAAGGGTCATCGTTGGTTCGTAGCCCACCTGCGCTTCCGAGTTTCACTCACAGCTCACCATTTTCTGCTTGTATTTCACATAAAATAGTTATTTCAAAAGACATTTCTTTGCTGACTGCTTTTTGATGAGTAAACGCGAGCATGTTTTTCATACGGACACAGAGTAGTATACCCGTTTCACCAAGGTATTCATCCACACACGCTTTTCAAGAAATCAGATAAACCGTACCAAAACTCATGCAATCACCACTTCTTCCGTTGGGATATATTATACAATTTTGGTCCACACATAGATGGTCACACTAGCTGGTGCGCTAAAGCGCTCGATGGTATTTCAATCACTGTTACCGAATTATCTAAATCGGCCCTTCTTCGGCAGCTTTTTATGGCTGCACTGATTTCGTTTCCAATAAAGGGAGAAGTAAAAAAGACCTTTTACTCGTCAGAATAATCATTTCATAGCGTGGTTTTTCCTCTACACATATGCCGAAGAGTTGCAGCTTCGTAATCATTCTAAACTACTGTTTGCTCCTCCAATTTCAGGGATTCTTCCTTCTGCTCTCTTCCTGCGCACACATTGGTGGCTGTTCGAAACATATTTCTAACAAGCGCTCTTTTGATGTGTGGTCGGTGAGAGGAGAGATAATGGACCTTTATGTTTTTACTACTTGGCTTTCCTTCGTGATGCGACCGTTTTCGGACAGGTTTATTTGAAGGTCAAGAAATATAAGCCAGTCTTATTTCGGTTTCACATGAGTAAATTGAGTAATTAGGTGCTCTGATTGCTCATTCAATAACTCAAAGCATTTGTACATTTCCTCTTGTGTGGAGCAGATGACAAAGCAATCATCTAAGTATCTACAGTACAGCAATGTCCGGAGATCGGTTACTAGTGCTTCCTCGTTAGGCATAAAGGCAATGACAAATCTAGGTGCTAGTGGCTGTTCCATTGCCAGTCCTCTAATTTGTGTTTTAAGATGGACATGAACTGTTGAATAGTCAAGCCAGACATGTTTATTTGTACTTCGTGTTGTGTAAGGAGCTGGAGCATGGACATTTTTTTTGAGCAGAATTCAACTGGTATTGGCAACATGGTGATGTGAAAAAGATAACTAACTGTTTGCAATTTCTAGTTACAGCCTAACTGCAAGCCAACTCTATCACTTTCAAAACACAAAGTTGCGTAAAACGTTAACGATGCTCGGCGTAGCGGCCCCGGCTTAGGACGACGTCTAATTATCAACCTTAGCGGGCTTCCTGATTTTTTGATAATAAACAATGATTTTTCAACATCTAGATAACTTGAGCGCTTGTGAACATGACATGATTGTAGACAAGACTATCTATATATGAGTATGAGTGGTAGACACACTACTCTTTTCCGTAAGGTAGTTTGGTCAAGTATACAGAAGCAGTGTTGTCGGCATTTGCCAGTGTTTTGGAATTTTTTTTTGCATGACGGGTCCTTCACATTTTGCACGGATCGCGGCACTTCTCGCATTCGATTCATTCCTCGCATCCATCATCCACGGAAGTCGCCAATTTTCATTGCGTGGCTTCGGCTGCTGCTCAAGGGCATTCATTCCATGATGAATGTTGCCGAATGCTAACTTTTTAATGTTTAACGTTCTGTTTTCTGCCTTCTATAATTTTCATGGCAGGTTACTAAGCGAAATACAACCACAACGTTGCTGAGATATTTGCAAAACTCTGGACCGCAGGTGTCTATGGTGGGGAACGAACGCGCTATTGTCCTTTCCGTGGAGTAACGCGTTCACCACCACACCATGCGGGTCCTTCGTTTCGCCTGTTGTGGTTGTATTTCGCTTAGTAACCTGCCATGAAAGTTATAGAAGGCAGAAAACAAAACGTTAAACATGGTGATTTCAACTACAGCCATAGCTTAACTGGGTTCTATGCCGATTTGCGCTCCCCAGATCAATCCCGCTGACGGGTGATTGCTGTGGCAAAAAGATCGATAGAAATAGCTGAGAGACAGGCGAAACGAAGGACCCGCATGGTGTGGTGGTGAACGCGTTACTCCCCGGAAAGGACAATAGCGCGTTCGTTCCCCACCATAGACACCTGCTAACTTTATTTGCTCCCTACTATAATTTTTCACTGTAAGGCATGACGCGGAATACAACCATAATGATGCTAAGATATTTGCAAAATTCTTGACCGCAGGTGTCTGCCATGGGGAACGAACGCGCTAATACTCTTTCCGGGGGCTAATGCGTTCACCACCATACCATGCGGGCCCTTCGTTTCGCCTCTCTCAATCCTGTTGACGGGTGATTGCTGATAGCACTGGTCGACAGAAAACTAGCCGAGAGACAGGCGAAACGAAGGACCCGCATGGTGTGGTAGTGAACGCGTTAGCCCCGGAAAGGGTAATAGCGCTTTCACTCCCCACCGCAGATACCTGCAGTCAAGAATTTTGCAAATATCTCAGCATCATCAATGTTGTCGAATGTTGGTCGAGTCGATTCTCTCTGGAGCTCCGAGATATCTGGGCTAGGGCGTTCGCACTTGGATTGCAGAGTGAACATTTATCAGATAAGTCCGATACTAATCTCCCGACCACGGAGTGATGAGAAGATTGGTGAGCCCGGAGCGGGATTGAACCAGCACCGTGTTGGTGATGAGCAACGTCACTTCCACTGTGGTGCCCACTCCCTTTTTACAATTTATGCTGCGTCCATTTCGGCTTTTTCATACCCGCACGTTCAATCCTATGGCTGTCATTCATACAGTAATTACAAATTGAAATTAGAGTCATTTGCTAGTCAAATTACCGATCAATGGAATCGCTCATAAGGAACATCTTTTGCACATTTGCATTTGTAGAATGGAGTTTTCCCAAGCCGACGGGCGCCAGAACGTTTGCGTTCTACAAGGTGCCTTTGACTAAAAGGAGTTTAACAAAAGGGTTCTGCTCAGCAAATTAAACGAGCATGAAAAGATAACCCCTATATGTCTCACATCGGCTACCCAGCGCACTGCGTGTGATTGTACAGATTACAGACCACCCATTATATGCAAACGTACTCGAAAGGAGAAAACCGCATTGATTTAATGATTAACGCAAAAAATTACCTTCTCGCTTTCAAGTTCTCTCCATTGCTTGTTGACGATCGCCAATGGACGATTACGCGTGTGCAAATCACTGGTAACCGATAAAATGGCGGCAAACATTGTGACCTGCAATTTGGGGCTAATCAATAACTGTAGAACGAAGAAATGCAAAAGTTTATAAAACTGGTATCATCATAGATTCACAAAGTGACAAGTAAACTAGGTGGAGGAATCGTTCTGTAGTAAATAATAGTGCTGAAAAGGAAACGACACATTTATAATACAGTACCGAGGTTAAGAGATAAAACGGTAACTAATACTAATTTGAAATCACAATCGGATAACACATTAGTTTTATAGAGAATTTTTTCCTCTCGTAAATCATTTCAACAACGATCGTTTCAATCATGTAGTTTCGATGCATATCGATCGCTACCACTCATGTTATGGCACGGGGTGCATGGCACGGTTACGTATTATTGAAGCAAAAGAAAAATCTAAAAAATCACAAGTAATGGAAACTATTTAATAAACCTGATAGATGAAGTCGAATAATATGGCGATGGCGTTTCCAATGCAGAATAACTGTATTTCAGGTGTTGGTGTAAAATACCCGACGAGAAATGCCATGACATTCGTCATCGAAGTGATGGTGACCGATGGGCCAACATCAACCAACATATTTGCTACACTGTAAAAATTATATTAAAATATACTATTGGGTTGGGAATGTTTTTTTCTATGATTTCTACGACCAATTTTACATAAACATCAACCTTTCAACATAACCTCTCCCAAGTTTTTATTCTTCGGTAGTCTCCTTGTTGATAACAATTTTATCACGATCTATTGAAGCGTGTACAGCATCAGGTTTTATAAAATCGTTGACATTATCACTCCCAATTTATTGATTTGTAGATCTTCTAGTGATAACGATGCTTAGAAACAACATGCGAACCCTCGACATCATTTTTGCTACATGAGATATAAAGGCGTGAAGGGTTCCGTGTTGATCAAAACCTTAGGGATTGCGCTATGTTCTCAACACTATTATATTTCAGAATTATTGAGGTGATTGAATGCATATCATGACTAAACAATGGCTTGCTGGGACGTTACGATGTCAGTACTTCTATCCTCCCAAACAAGTCTGGTGCTAATTCTGGAAAGCCCTGGCAGGATGGGTAGTTTGTTCAGCCTGGAGCGCGAGATCGAACCAAAGGTGGTGTGTTTACAAGGAATTTGTTATCACTTTGAGCTACGCGCGGTCTTAATGTAATATAAGCGGTATTTACTGTGAAATTTTTGACAGTGGTCGTTTTATATAGAATCATTTTAAACTGCACAAAAAGCTATTAGCTGAAATTGGGTAAAAGCTATAAAAAATATACCGTTCTCGCTTGGACATCTTCCGATCGCTATTGGAGATGTGCATCAACGACTGCATCATGAGAAACGCGTCATCGACACCTCAAAAGACACGTAAGCATCAGTGTCGATGGCATATTCCAGTTTGCCGTTCACAAAGCTCTGATATCAGTATCAACTGCATCACTCTTTCGCATAGTAAATGGCCACTCAGTGCAGTGGTTCAACGGGTCATAGTTGCTGTAGGTTTCTGGATGATTAACTACGATATACAGGAAAAAATTCATTCGACCAACGGGTCATAGTTGCTGTAGGTTTCTGGATGATTAACTACGATATACAGGAAAAAATTCATTCGACCACCTGTGATACTCGAAATGAGAAAAAGTTGGATCCGTTCAAGAAACTCATGAGCTACTTAAAGTTACTCTGTCATCGAGAAGAGAAGAGGTCAAAATATGATCATTTTAGCTTCGACTTTGATCGAACTAGCTGAGAGACAGGCGAAGCGAAGAACTCGCACGGTGTGGTGGTGAACGCGTTGTCGCCTGAAAGGGTAATAGCGCGTTCGTTCCCCACCGCGGTCCGAATTTTTGCAAATATTTTAGCAACATTGTGGTCGTATTTCGCATCATACTCTGCTGTGAAAAAAATTATAGTAGGAAGCAAATAAAAAGTTAGCATTGTGATATTTTATTGTTCTTTGGACATATGGGCTCCCTGAACAACATCATCGCCTGCTTGGCACGAATGAAACTTGTTAAAGGTGACCAATGACCAACCGCATTGTAGGTGATGTAACTTAATAAAGTCCATTAATGACAAAGTTTCAATGAAATGAAAAATAACTGAAATTTTTTAGAAAACACGTCTCTTGATTGGTTCGAAAATACTAAAGAATTTTTGCGCAGCTGTAAGGCTCGAACTAAACACCCACATCAGAAAAGTGAATGGCTGTGGACAATCGATATGAATTGTTGCAGCTCTGGGAAAGGCAAAGACAGAAAATCGCCAGCCGAAAAATTGCTTGTGACAACCTCATATTAACCCAACCATCCATGCATACATTTACTATCCACGCCGAGGTTAAACGAAAATGGTTTTAGAAATACGTTAAAGTAAACTTGACGACAGCATTTTATATTTGACACTAGAAATATCAATAATTTTTGATGCTTACCGATTGCTAGCACAAGGAATGGGGTAACGCAAAGGATTGAACCGAAGCGGAATCCACACCAGAAGAGGAAACCAAGTGCAGACGATGTGGCCAGCAATGGACAGACACAGGCGGACATCGCATCGATGATCTTGTAATTGTACCACTACAATTAAAATACTTTATTTGGGTCAGCTCTGATGACTATCACATAGTTAACTACCTTTTGAAACTTTTGTAAAAAGATGAATTAATTATTTTGAATCGTTTTCGAGAAATCTCTATTCAGCACGTTCATACTGATCTCTTTCTTTTTTGCCTCGACGAATGAATAAATTTTTCTGTATATTGCTTTCAAAGGTTTTTTCAAGTGCTTTGCTCCTAAAACTGCTAGCTGACATTCTTTCTCCGAATAAAAAATAAGAAACTACTTTTCCTTCCAGACTATCTAAAAACATTTACTCGATGGTGTTCTGAAGTCAATTCATTAAGAAGTGGAGAACCGTTTACCATTCACCCGCATCAAATCATAAGTCTTTTAAAAAAAAATTGCGCACGTAGAATTCCTACGGACCACAGAGCCACACGACATTACGCGAGCATTCAAGGTTAGTAACTGGCCCTTATGCGTCGACGTGACCTCTGTGGGAGTCACGGGGTAAGGAAATAATGGCCGCTTTTACTTTTGAAACATCATATCTCAGCCCACAGTAAATTTTAATAACTGCGATAAAAAATCAAAAGTTGTAAATCTTTCTCTAAAGTGTGACGATTCTCGTGTTTTAATAGAGTTCGAATTTTCTAGAGGCATTGAAATAGTTTTCTTTCAATATTTGTTCCACTTCTTTTGCTTAAAATCTTGTACTTCAAATATCCAAGTAGTTGACCAAACAGGGGTTTCGTCCAATAGGAAGATATGATATTTCCCGATGTGTCGTTTATGATTCCAACCACCGCTGTCGTGTTAGAAATCACAAAACTTCAAATCACGTTTTCAAATTTTTGAAAGCCTTAGTCCTAAATATACTTAAATTTGAAGCAACACTGTAGAGAAACTGCATATACGGTTAGCTCGATCGAGCAATGCGTTATACATAAAGCTGTGAAGTTTCTAACTCCTCAACTGGTCTTGTGATCGAGAAATTGTCGTGTTTTCAAGAAAACCAGCTTAGTCGGGAAAAGGTTAAAATAGGTGATTATGGTATTATGAGAGCGATTTGCTCTCACTTTGTGACAATCGGGAAGATAAAACATTGAATATAAAACAGTATGCATGTATCATATGTTATTAGAATACTTGAACTACCTCCTTCTACTAAACGAAAAATTTGGCTCATCTGAGCAACGATGAACCAGAAACCCAATTACCAATGAAGTTGTCGCATTGTACAGCACCGAGACTGATCAAGGCTATCTATACTGCCATTTGTCACCTCGTCTCGCGCGACTAATCGCAAGAATGCTGCCATCCAGGAAGAATTCGAACTACAATGGACTAGATCTCTTTCCGATCCAGAGGTGGTGGCAGCTGGTAGCCAGCAAGCTAATCTCAGGATGTCAAAAAAAATGGCCCTTCACTAATATTCAGTGTGTCACTGGAAAAGAAGGAAACAAATTGCCAATCAACATTGTTGGAAATTAATTCGATCTCCTCCATGGCTGTTGCATAACAACAAATATAGGAAGACGCACACGAATGTGAAGAAGAGTCATCTTAGTAATAACTCGATAACCGTGCACTTCTATTTATGTGGTACTCCACGGCTCCCTTTCTCAACGCTTGATGGCTACCTTTCATGCACCACACCGACCCAAAAATTTTCTCATTAATTTTTATCTCTCTATGTTTTTTTTTCGCCATTTAGGGTATGCCCCAGTCATGCAAGACTACGTTTATTAGAATGTGAAGGACACTAAGCCATATAAAGACCACCACTGGCCGATTATTGTTGACATTACAAGGTCATTTTAACCGGTGATTCATCTTCACTACAAAATTTGTTTTGAGAATTCTGGCCAGTGATTTGAACATGTGAGTATTTCCTATCAAAACCGGACCGTTGTGAGACCACTGTACTTTCTTTCAACAATGTACTTTTTTTTCGAAATTCCGACGGATGTTCGGTAATCAGAGTACTTACTGCTCTCCAAAATTAAGAGCGATAAGTGATCATAAGAGCACATTTTTCTTGAACGCGGAACAAAGCGCTTGAATTTTTTTGGCTTCACTAAAATACTTGTCGACAGTAAAGATGCCAACCGAGCCATTGCGACGCCAATGAGGCATCAGAACAATTCCTTTGACTCACAAGAATTTTTTCCGTAACCTTTTTTTCATAGGGCGCTTGTGGCGCAGTGGTTGGAGGCGCCACTGCGGCACATACGTGGAATCGATCTCCGCGCCCGTAGTCCACCAAGCCTTCCATGCTTTTGGGGTCGGCAAATTGCTACCAGAGTTATCTGCGAGGTTAGCAGCACTTGCTCGATACATAGGTATGCCACCGCGAGTCATTTGTAAAGGGCAGATATGCATTAAATCACCAGCAAAAAATGCTTAATGAAGTCGAATGCATGGCGCATCTCTCAAAGATTGATCAACGCCGAGAGCTTTATCATTTTTTACCCTTTAACCTTATTAATCACAACCATTTTACATCTACGGTTAGCCCAAAAAGAGACCACCACTGGTCGATTATTTTTGACGTTACAACGTCACCTTGACCGGTGATTGATCTTTTCTACATGATTTGTTTTCAGAACTGCAACCAGTGAACTAGACGTCTGAGTACTTTTCTTTCAAAACCAGACCGCTGAGTCCAGTGTACTTTTTTTTCCAAAATTATGGCCGATGTTCGGTCATTGGGATACTTACTATTGTCCAAAGTTGTCATCGATAGGTGATCGTAAGAGGAAATTTTTTTAAACACTGAACAGAACGCTTGAATTTTTTTTGGGTTTGTTTAAATACTTTTCGGCAGTAAAAGTGCTGAGAGAGTCAATACGTCGTCAATGGGTCACCGGAATAACACCTTTGACTGGAAAGATTTTTTTCACAATCTTCTCATTCATAGCCATTTCACATTTACGATAGTTCATGAATGTCATCTACGACTTTGGCAATCTATTTACTAATTTCCCGGACCAACTAAAGATTGAGCAGTTTAGGCACTTCTTTAAGAGTGTCGTAAACTGCTGAATCGAGAAGCCGTAGATGTTTATTGCTCCTTCGTGTTGTATTAGGAGCTCGCGGATGGCTTGCATAGCGGAGTCATTCGACACGTTCGTATACAGGGCAGTGACGACGAAGGACGCCCATAACGTACGCGCTGTTGGTTCGCGCGTTACGTAGACAATCCAGGAACATTTAGGTGTTCGTTAAATAGGATGAAATGTACTTCAACCACAGGGTAAGTATTAGTGCTATTAATCACATTATTCTTTCCGTTGGCCCATCCACACAGCTAAAGGACAAAACGGGACATTTTAGTAAGTCAGCTTTGAGTTGGGAGATGGTTTTAATCCAGCCGCTATTGCCATTTTAACCCATTCGTTGTTTAACTTTCGGTATTGGCTTTTAAATTCCTTCTCAGACGATGGACGATAAAGGGAAGCATCTTTAAGCTGCTTTCCCGGATATCTCAACATCTAACTGATGGGAATTACAACGAACTCTCCACCCTTATCACTAACCGATAGTCTTATGTTTTTTGTTCTTATCAGCTCTCGTACCTCCCGCATACCACGTTTTTGTATTACAGTGAGGTTGGAGCAGTATCTCTTAGCGCGATAGTGATTAAGCACTTTGAAAGTTTCATTCGTAAACAACCGAAGTTTCATGTGAACTTCATTATTGGGCTCTTGTTGTCTAAAGAACGGTTGAGGGAATGGTAGTACTGTTATTGCCCCTACTTTTTGTTGTTCGCACCTATTTAACGCTTTATCCCTAGCTTTTTTGTGAGGAACAGATGATGATATGCGGGAGGTACGAGAGCTGATAAGATCGAAAAACATAAGGCTCGGTTAGTGTTAAGGGTGAAGAGTTCGTTGTAATTCCCCATCAGTTAGATGTTGAGATAACGGAAAAGCACCTTGAAGATGCTTCTCTTTATCGTCGTCTGAGAAGGAATTTAAAAGTCAATACCGAAAGTTAAAGAACGAATGGGTTAAAGCGGCAAGAGCGGCTGGGTTAAAACCAAAAGTTATCTCTTATCTCAAAGTTGACTGTCCTGTCCAACATGTCCTCTCCTCTACTTACTTGTCAAAACCCATAAGTTAGTACCCAGCGATGATCTCGTGTCTATCGATCCATCGTTATTTAAGGCTAGACCTTTCACTAGCTGAGTGGACTGGCCATTGGATAGAATAACGTGGTTAATAACCCTAATACTTACTCAGTTGTTGAAGTACATTCCAGCTCATCTAACGAACACCCAAATGCTCCTGGATCGTCTACCTAACGCGCGACCCAACAGCGTGTACGTGGTGGAGTCTTTCGACGTCACTGCCCTCTATAAGAACGTGTCGAATGACTTCGCTATGCAAGCCACAGGTACTCCAACGATAACTCTAGCGACAATAAGGTCCCGTTTATACCGCCCTTCATTTCAAACGAAGTAAGTGCAGCTATAAAACGCTTTTTAAGAAGGGCCGGTCTAGAGAATGCGGGAACGATAATTGAAATACCACCGGGTAACCTAAGACGCCAGCTAGTTTGTAATCGCCTGTATGACCGTCTATGTGCAACGCAAAACTGCATAATTTGTCCTAATGGTAGAGACGGTGACTGCATGAGCTCGGGTCCAGTGTATCTGATCTCCTGTTAAGGCGTGCAGAGACAAAGACATTGGCGAAGCGGGCAGACCCCTCTGTGTTCGCATAAAAGAACACCTATTCGGCAAATGTAAACCAAATACTCCACTAGGCACGCATAAGATGCAGAGAAAATTTTGAAGTAAGGGTTACGATCCACGCGCTAGAGTCGAAAACACAAGCGCACAAAACTCTAGAGGCATTCTGGATTAATTTCAAGAATCCGAAAACGAACTGTAGGGAAGAATGCCTTATTATCACGCATGATATTGGGCAGTATACAAACCTGTTGTTTTGATGAGATGGGCACAATACGATTTCGTGTGGACTCTGTGCGGTTGGTCTCCACGTGACATATTTAGTGGAAGACCCATAGAAAGCGGTGAATGTGCGAAGACTCTGTTCGATGTGATTGGTGATTGAAATTTTGGTTCAGCATTTTCTCTGTTTGGAAGGTGTTTGACCGTGTAGATTGTAGTCAACTTGGCCTGGTTTGTGAGGAAGGCGAAATCCGCCGGAACGTTAGTTTGTACGTAAATAAAGAAATAAAGTAACATTTCGTGTTTGCTGAACAGAAGTAAAAACAACTATTTACTAATATTTACTTCTAATCACCTTCCAACGGTTTACCGCATCGTGGAGATGTTCCTGGGTGCCCGACTGCGATGTACAGCGGAGGATTCATCCCCTGGCAAGGCCTCCCAAGCTAAGAATGAGTCCGATGTTTCCATAAGAAAGGCTAGCTAAAAGAAAACCAATACAGGAACCACCACCGCCCTGGTATTAAAGTCGAATGGTGGTAAATCTCCCTCTGATTCACTAGGGCTTCGAGTGCCTGACGACTTGGGGCAGACTTTGGTCAGGCTATTCTCGAGATTCCAGGAAACCAGAATAGCTTAACCAGCAAATTTCCGAAAAATTGTGATTATTCTGGGGCCCACACAACCAGTGAAGACGAGCCATTCAAGTATCAAGTAAGCACCAATTACTTCTCATCAGAGCAGCCGATTTTTATGGATCACATTCTCAAGCTCATTCTCTCTCTCGGATGACCGGAAAAGGTTGCAAGTTCAAAGTAGTTAAGTGTTTATGTGGCAACTCGTCGGAAAGAGCTCCAGCGACAGTTTCACGGAGCAAGGCAAAATATTTTTAAGTTTACTCATCATTGTTACGAGAAGAAAAACACAAATATGGGTTAAATTGAGCTACAGGATTCAGCTAGCCACAGATAGTTACGTCAGTCAATGCCCCAAAGACTCTGATTCGACTTAGCACGGGCGAACCAAGCTCTCCATTCCTACGGGGTCGGAAAATTGGTGCCAGATTCATTTGGGTTAAGCTGGCTTTCCCCAGTCTACAAAACCTAGTAGTGACTACCCGTAATGAGGATCAAATGCCGAGAACGGTTATCACAGTTTTCCAAATAGAACCGAAACAGCCATCATTCAACAACATTCGAAAAGTCCATGTGCAAAAAATTCGAAGAGCTTTGTGGGTGATAGGTGATGTTAGGATCTGCAGAATACGTGATATCAGGTTGTTTGAAATAAATAAAAAATTAGAGTTGCCATAGCCAAAGCTGAATACGTTCAACTTACAACGCAACAGTGTACAAACGTTCTTTGTCTACCAGTTACAACTCATACCTTCACAATGTGCCATAGTTCTCTACTGTGTTTTCGACGTAACTTTTCTTCCATTATTTAGGTTTGTTGGAGTTTGAAGGCAGATGTTAGGGTCGGTTCAACTTCGAGTTTTAACGACCTCGTTGTTTCTCGCTTACAATACTAGCGGGTTAATAGACTAAAAAGGCAATGGAGTTGGTCTTCAATTCTTAAACGTTCATGGAAGCAGCAGTTTGGCTAATTGGCTGTCACTCTGCATCCACGTAGATTGGAGCGTTTAACAGAAAAAAATTAATAATAGAAAGCTACTAATTGTGGAATTATAAAAATTCTTCGGCTACATGGCTAGTTAGGGGTAAAAGCAAAGACGAAGCGTTTAGTGCTGTGTTTTGAGGTCTTCACATTTTATTTGGCGGCACAAGGTCGTACTCTATTTTCATCATTTAGAACAGACAAAGTTAACGACGAAGCTTATCCAAGGTTGTTGTTTCTTACTTACAACAGATGAACTCAAAGTCAAAAAGTAGTGAGCGCGTTTGTTCTCCGATAAACATGAGTTACGAACGAGGTGTGCTTCCTTACGTTCTTAATGAAATTGCACTCCACTCACCAATACGAGGAATAACGCAAAAATGATCTAACAGATCAGAATCAATTTTGCCGGCTAGTAATAATGTACGTGGAGGAAAAAAAGAAAAAAAAGGAAGGAGGTCATCTGAAACCGGAATCATTACTTCGAAAGCAGACAGTATTATTGCTCGTTTAAGAGAAAAAAGAATATCCTTAGACAAATAGGTTGACCTATTTTAACTTAATGAAAAGCACGAGGAAGAAAAATGTGTTGACGTTTTTCTACTAAAACTCCATTCAACCTATGAATCGTGATTATGGCGAAAAATCCTTCGCGAGTTAAGGAAATGTTCAGAAGTTTCAGCCATGGCCAACTTAAGCAAATGATTGCAGTAAATCGCGATTGGACGTGGAAGAAGACTGGTGGCGACTAAGCAAATTTTTCTTTTGCCACTAGAAACCAGTAATGACGGTAAAGAGAATGCCTGAGAATCTCGGAACGCCAGAAAAAAACTTGTCCAGCGCTGGGACACACTACTAGAATGCTAGCGCAACAAATTATTGGATGGATGATTCTTAGTGAGGAAGACCAGTTTACACTTATTGTCTGCTATACTATATTTTTTCTCTTCATTAGTCATGATGGTAAACTAGATTTTAGATACAGCAAATATTATATAAAAATGTCGCCTAAACTCCTGAAAAATCGCGAATAAATCATTTGTCAATTAAGAAAACACGGTGGTAAAGAGCACACCTGATCCACCTTTGAGCTACTGTAAAATACAGTGATGGTGGAGAAAATACTCATGATAACGAATCCGATGGCAAGGCAGGGAAAAATGGAAAGACCTAAATGGAGAAAATGTTTTAATTACGATCACTTCAGCTTTCTAACTGTGTTATTCTAAAAAAATTTTCATTGCGACAAAGTCCTATGACAACGGAATTCTTGCAAAAGAATTTGCAGAATCGTATTAGATGAACTGTCCCAACAGTTTACCACCTCATCGTAGCTGGAAGATGTTTCTGGGTGTCGGACTGCTATGCCTAGCTAAGAGTGAACCAAAACCAGGATATCATCACCGTCCTGGTATCAAAGTCGCATGGTGGCAAATCTCCCTCTGATCTACAAGGGCTGCAACTGCCTGTGGCGGTGAAGACCTGGGGCAGATTTTCGCCAAGCTGACCTCGGAATTCTAGGGAACCACAATGGCTTATCCAGCAAACCTCTGAAAAATGAGATTATGATGTGGCCCTCACAACCAGTGAAGACGGGCCGTTCAAGTGTCAAATAAGTACCAAGTAAGTGTTAGATAAATAAAACGGAGGAGCTAACTTTTTGGATAAGCAACAACGAGAAAGCTCCTTTCCATCACGTTGAATGTCACTATTTAACTAAAACTTTCATTAAATATTGAAGCATATTCCATTTCACGTACTTCAGTTTGAAAACCTTCAAACTAACAGTAAATTCCATTTCGCAAGAAATAAGTAGTGAGTGCCAAACAGTAACTTTGATACAGCAACTTGCTGAGATATACTGAAATCGGGACCACTCTGCGGTGGCGACAGAGCACGCTATTACCCCTTCCGGACGGGAATGCGTTCACCAGCACACCGTGCGGGTCCTTCGCTCTGCCTTTCTCTCAGCTAGTTTTCTACCCACCAGTGCCATTAGCAATCAAAATCAGCGAATGAAAAATTAACGTTACGTCTTTAATATAATTTTTCCATATGAAAAATTTTCTAAGCAAAATGCGCAGCAATACAGCGTGTCGTGGCTGCTTCCAGTATTTTTCGCTTTACATGTGTTTCAATTCCCTTACCGGTCCTGACTATCTCATCAGAGGCGTAGGTGAGTGACAAGCCGTAGATTTTCAGTAAGTTTGACTTCATCTCGCTGAAAATTCAAACAAGATTCATTGCTTACTAATTGGTCGTTCTTTATTTAGAAAAAAACCCTACTTTAATAGAGCGATTTAACAGCCATAATAACACAACTTTTAATGTATCTAACACTGAAGAAGACAACTGTTAGCACAAAAGAGAAATCGTTGACTTGACAACCATTGCAAATGAATTGCAGGAAAAACTTCGCTTCGTTATTTATTTTAAATGTTTTCTTCGGTTTAAAAAAGGCGCCTGTGGCGCAGTGGTGGGAGGCGCTCTGTAACACAAACGTGGAGTCGACCTTCGCACACAAGACCTACGAAGCTTTCCGTCCATCCGGGGTCAGCAAATTGGTACCAGCTGGGAGAACAGCAGTACCGTCTCAGTACATTGGTAGGCCATCGCGAATAATTGTAAAGGCCAGATATGCATTCAATCACCTCCAACGATACTTAATAAAGTTGAATGCACGGCGAGTCCCTCAAAGACTGATCAACGACGAGCGTTTTATCTTTATTTTTTTTATTCTTCAAGGTTTGAGAGATTTGGTGAGAAAAATATTGCTGCTTAAGAGAAAAGTAAAAAGCCTTTCTACACCGATTTTTCGCGCCCTTTCTGTGAAAAACCTTGTAATTCGAGTCATGTTCGGCTTCATCATCTGTGTAAAACCGCAAATCTCAGACAAAACTTGATTTTTTCCTTTCGAAGTTTTTTATTTTACGAAAGGAAACGACGCGCAATGGGTTACATTGGTGCTGGTTCAATTCGCGTTGTTTCATTCAGTAGAGCGAATAGGATTTGCCTTTCGGTGAAGTGCGAGTGCCACAAAAATGTTAGAAGTTATAGAAAACACTAACCTATTGAAATAACTGACGACTCGCCTCTCGTAGGCTTGTACGTCGCATCGATTCCAGTTCTTCGGTGGATTTGCTCGAAATTGAAAGAGTACCAACTTCAGAAATTGCACTGTTCGGTCGCTGCTGTTGGTCTTTACTCCGTAGAAATTCGGACTAAGATCAATTTCCTTGCCGATTACTTCCATGACTGGAAATGTTATCGAAATCCGTTCATCGATTCCAGATGAGTTAACTTTCATCACCAAACCGTTCTGTAATGACTCAGCTCTTTTCGTGTTTTGTTTATTAGTTCTCACTTGAAACATCAAAAAAGGTCTAAGGACTCTAAGGACGTAATGTTCACCTTTCATTTGCTGCCTACTCTAATTTTTTATAGGAGGGTATGATGTGAAATACAACGGCTTCGTTGGCAGCGTTAGGTAGAAAACTAGCTGAGAGAAACGCAACGCAAGGGCCGCAGTGGTGGAGTGCGTAATACGCGAGGCCTCGGAAAAGGTAATAATGGTTCGATCTGGCCTGGAGTCCAATTTTGCGAGTATGTTAGCATCGTTGTGGTTGTAGCTCACTACGTATTTATCGATATCGTACTATTCAGGGGGCAAGTAGTGCAGTATTTAGAGGTACCTTGCAATACAATCGTAGTGATTGGATCGACCTTGGGCCTTGAGCTTGGTAACTTCAGTAATCTGTTGTACAGAACTGGTTAGGGAAGATCAAACCACTGACTGTATACATTGCTAAGCCACCATTAATCGTCGTACAGAGCAAGTATGCATTCGCTCACTTCTACGAGACTACGAATGGAGTAGAATGCATTGTGCACGCTTAAGGGACCAGTGGTTGATTCTCTGCCCTTTATTCTACTATTCAGTAGTGTTCTATTGCAAGTGTAACAATTGATGATGTGGATGATTGAGAGATCATTTCGTGTTCTTATTACCAGCGACTTGAGGAACCGATAAGAGTGTTAGTGGTATTTTTTCTTTTAATCGCACGGTTCTATTACCAGCTGACCGAGATTAAAAACATAAGAACATGTCTGGTTCTGAAATGTGAGTGTATGTTGAATGAGCGACGATATCCTTACGAACGCTCGTGGTTGAAAGAGAAACGAAAAGTAGGGCTCGAGTAGAGCGATTATTTCTCATGGGCATTTTAGCAGATGACTGTAGGAAGGATTTTTCTACAATTCCATTCCAGCATTTTTCCGAGTTCCATTTAGAAGACAGTCAAATGCTGCTTCCTTAATTTAATGGAACCAGCAGCTTTTTCTCATATTTCGTTTATTTTAAACATTTCATTTGCCCATTAAAGCACCTAAAGGTTTCATTCTTGTCAATGGTTTGTCGTCCTCACTGTGCGAGTTGGTGTTCACCAATGTTGAACTAGACATAGAACAAGGATTCTTTCTGCCATTGACAGTAGCAGTAAACTAAGCGTCAGAAGTCGGTGTCCCCCGCAAGAACAAAGTAAGAAAGGACTATCTTCTAATCCCTAAAGCAGGAGGTGTGCTCGCAGCGACTACCTTGGAACGCTCTGCCGCGAGCTTCTCAGAAATCCATGGTTGCCAGATCGATATAAGTCAAACGAAAATTGAGCTGAACAGGCATGCCTAGTAAAGACGGGTAATCACATTATCTATAGTGTAACAAAGAATCATTGGCTTAGCAAAAAAGGCCTGAACCACGCAATGAATTTTTACCAAAATTTAGCTTCTCATCACATATCTTGAACTGGTTCTGGCCTATTGTACAGTCTTTTATCCGTCAATCAGCAACAAGAATTGCCGCCTTCTTGGAAGAATACGAATTGCAGGAGAGCAAACCACCATCCGATTCACTACAGCCAGCGATTGCTTGTACAAACAACACAGGACTGCTTAGCACAGGATTCAAGGAAAAACTACACCCACAGTTTAACGTTTCAGTGAGGAGACAAAAAACGAAAACTCTTAGGCTATAGCGGAGCAGGCAGATTAATCTGATCACCGATCACCGATATCGCCTCTACTCATGGTGGTTTGTATAATATGGGCAGCTGAGGCATTTTAAAACAATAGAACGAGTATTTCAAAACACCATTTTAGGCACAGGAGATTGTAGTACAATTGTTAGAGGTGTCATGCACTACAGACGTGGTCGCTGACTCAACTTCCGCCCACTCGATAGCGTCATCAATTCGGGGTCGCCAGATCGATACCGGATTTGTCTGGCAAGACAAAAAACTAACTTGTTGAATCAGCTTCATCCTACAGGATCGACGAAGGCTGAGTGCTTTATCTGTTATTTATTTAACCTAATTAGAAATACGGGTAGTGGAAGGAGATGAGGAAATAATGTTCACTCACGTAAAAGTGTCTTATAGGCTCGTTCATATCGCAGAAGTCTGAGCATATTGTGGAAAAGGATTGTCCATTGTGTTTGATATTGGCTGTGACAAAGTTCAACGTTTTCACGGCTTCATCCATGTAAGCTAAACGGGACATGGAACCATCGTCTTTCGCCATCACGAAGCCGTAGATCGTAATCGGTTGACCTTGCGACGAAAAGTACTCGTTGTACACAGCTAGCTCCTGTACCGAGCGAGCTCCACGTGGAGTATAGCCTGAGATAATATTAAAGTCATTTTTTTTTCATTTCATCCTGAACTAGTAATGATAATTTATCTTCTACATCTGCATTGTACTTTTCGCATTCATTTAACGCGCTATTGCAAATGTGTTACGCGGTTTTTATCAAGCTCTTTCCCTTTTCCTTTATAGGTCTCCACTATAATGAGCACTGTCCCATTCACCTGCTAGTCGGCTATCGACTAACCATCAATATCGATTTACATTCGAACATCATCTAATTATTTTGCTCACTACTACTCAACCGGTTGAGCCTATTTTTAGACCTTCTAGCGATTACAACGCTGTATAAATGTTCTAAGCAATACCAAGAACCACCACCGGCCTGGTGTCAAAGCCGCATGGTGGCAAATCTCTCTCTGATCCATTAGAGCGCCCACTGCCTCTGGTATTCGTGGAAGATTGGGGAAGACTTTGGCCAGGCTGACTTTGGGATTCAAAGGAACCGCAGAGCCAGCAAATCACCGAAAAATGGTGATTATGCTTGGGACCACACAACCAGTGAGGACGGACCGTTCATGTACCAAGTAAGTATCAAGTATAAATGTCCTTACAAACTGCCCTTTTTTAGCCCAAAAAAGTAGTTTAAAAGAAAATGCACGCTGATATATCGATTATTATGCCGAGCTTTATAGAAGGTAGATCTTCTGAGTAGTTAAGAACTTACAACACTTTCGAACTACAGACGTTCCGCGCCTCCCCTAATTTTTGTCTATTTATATTTTTCTGTTTCTTAATCGAACCAGTACTTTCCGTGTATAGATTTCCTGTGCCTTTTCAATGACCTTGAAATTTTTCACGACGACAAAATATGAGGGGTGGAGGCCTTTCACGTGACTCTTCACCTAAGTACATGTTTGAAAGCTTAGTAATTCTCGTTTAGAAAAAGTGCGAATTCCCCTTATTAAGAGGAGAAGAATTCGCAGGTTGGAAAAAGTAAAAACGAATAGATAAAGTTTGTACAACCACAGTAATAAGCCTGCATCGTTTTACATTCAGGTGAACCAAATGACACTCAGTTCGCTTCAGTGCGAAAACTTTTTAGATGTAAGGGTAATTTTAATGAATAATAGCTCTAGGTTATAGACGAAAAAAATGATCCCAAATTAATCAAACACTCAAATGAACCACAGTATTCCTGAGATATTTGCAAAACTCCGGACCGCAGGTGCCTGCGGAGGGGAGCGAACGCGCGCTGTTGTCCTCTTCGCGGAGTAACGCGTTCACCACTACACCATGCGGGTTCTTCATTTCGGCTGTCACTATGAAATCATTTCATCTCGACATTTCTTCATAAGAAAATAAAGTAATTATAAAATCTCATTCCAAAAGTTGAATTTGAGCTGTTCTCTTGCATTTTCACTCTTTTTTGTTTAGCTCAGCTTTCAATCTAAGTTTAATTCTGATGATATCCTTCTTCTCAATGCTTTCCGACTGAAGTCGTTTTCAAGTGCTTCGATGAAATCACAAGATTTCTCACTGAGATAAGTAATCGTGCAGCACATTAAAGATTATCGATCGCGAAAAAACCTGTTTTACCGCATTGCGGAAGTGATTTCATGGTAGTTGCGTAGAAGATGGAGGTGGACGGACTGCGAAAATGCCGTCAGTCTGTCGCAACCGACGACGGTAATGCGCCATTGAGGCGGTCATTGCGCCGCTATCGAGGAAAAGGCGCTACGTGAAGCGATTACTAACCTGTTTGAAGATCGTCCTGTTGAGGTGTGAAAGCGATTTTTACCGAAGTTAACATGGTGAATAGTAACGAAACCTAAAATCGAACCATTACAAAAGGTATAACGTTGAGGTTCACTGATCAGTCTCCTATTCATTTTTCATCTTCATCTTCTCATTTATTTTTAAATAATATTGAAACATGTATAGTACATGTATAAACATGTACTGTCAGTATCTTTATTATCCCGGACTAGTTCGGCACCATAGACGAAGGGCTCGCATGGTGTGGTGGTGAACCCGTTGGATGGGATGGTAGGGACATCTCGTGACGCGAGATCCAACCAATAACCTTGGGTGTATTGAAAAGCGCTTGTTAATGTTTCTGTCCAAGCGAGCTAAAAAAGTGAGGATAGGAGAAGAAACGGAAACTACGAAAGTTCTTTAAAATAAACACGCAACCTGTTCTGAGGCCGAAATTTTGCTTGGAATTTTATTAGAGCACTACTTTTGAGGGATCACTGACGACGAAGATTACGCCTTTGTAACTCACAGCCCCAATATAAATAGAACAGCAAGAATGTAGTGAGCTTGTAAAATACATTTTGCTCCACTTAGAAAATCATTGAAACCTTGACACAATCAAGTTTTGATATTATGGCTGGTTTAACATTTATAGGTTGTGTTCATTGTTAAAAACTACACCGCTGCAAAATGATTGTAGTATTTTTTAAAAGAATACAGGTGGTTCGAACTGCATCGGTCTCGAGACATCGTTTGCGTCAATAAAACGCTTTTAACGCAAAACAGAGTTTTCTGCGAGGAATACGACTATCATGGACAATTTCTCTTGTAGACTCTACATAAGCCCAGTGAAATCCGCTATCGCATGAGTCAATAGCTATCTTTTCTGTGACGGTAACGGCAGAAACTAAGATAAAACAAATATGGTCATAAAAATGGTCGCGTAACAGCATAAATGTAGGATAAATAAAGCATTGGGCATTGACCAGTTCATCATCGATGCAACGTGCACACGACTCCATTAAGTATCGTTGAGGTAAATGAAAATATGTTTGGATTTTACAGCGACGGCATTTGGAGGTATACAAACATATCAAATCAGTGTTCTTATTATCGCAGACTGGTGTAATACCAATTTGCTAAGTCCCAATGGAAGGAAAGCTTGATTCGCTCGAAGCGTGCGAACTAAGGTCACGTTAACACTGCAAGGTTACCCTAACAATTCCTCAACATGCAACTCAAACGCGAATAAAGCGTGAAAACCACCAGCGTTGTACCTAAGAGATGTGACATACATTCGACTTCATCAAGCCCGCATAGATGAATGAATACATGCAGGTACAATACCTTGCTCTGGCCTACCGACAGAAAAAGGCAATGTTTTCATAACTATAATGTTGTTGCGATATTTGCAAAGCTCCGGACAGCTGGTGTCTGCGGTGGGGACAGAACACGCTATTACCCTTTCCGGAGGCCAACGGGTTCATCACCACACCATGCGAGCCCTTCGTTTCGTATGTCTCTTAGCCATGTTATTGACTCATAGGCGCTATCAGCAATCACCCGTCAACTGGATTGATCTGGGGAGAACATGGGTCCCATGGGGAGAACAGATTGATCATGGTCCCAATTAAGCTGATTCGATGGTGTAAATCACAGACTGTCTCCAATTTTATTTATTGCCTAATAATTTCTGTTGGCAGGGTACTAGGTAAATGTTGTTATTTTCCCAGACAAGACCAATAGCGGTTTGCTGATCTGCTTTGATAGAAGGCATGGTGAGACCGGCATGTGGGATCAAACGACTGATTCAGTGTGTATTTCGGGGCACCTCTAACCACCACGTTACACGCACCACTAAGCGGAAATATGTTTTGGAATAGCGGAGATTAGTCAGTTTTATCCGATACAAATGAAAGATTGACACCAGTACCGTTTAATCAACTCAGCATAATTAAGTGATAGAAAAGGTAAGGCAAAAGAGTACCAGCAAAAACCCTTTATGGTTTGCTTTATCTCACTGATGTAATAAGTGACGCTGCAAGGTGCTGCCTGAGCAAGGCAGATACAACCATCTCATTTATGAGATTACATTCCGATAGTCCAAAACGATGCAGAAAAACAGCCGCAACATCTTTTGTTTAGATAAACAACGTTAGCAAGTTACGAAAAAGTTATATCGAAAACTGGATTTGTATTCAATTATTAATTATTTGGTATAATTGCAAATCCCGAATGAGAGAAGTAGGGAACGCGCAACCATTACTGACAATCCTTGTAAATACGCTCTGTGAGTTGTACGGAGAGTGCAGTGATTGATATGCCCTTGCGATGGATAATGTTGTTGTTTCAGTCCTATATCGTCCAAGAGTTATACAAGTAAAAACGGTTTAATAGTTTCACACAAAAAGAAGGTTATCTCTAGTGGGTGAATTTTCGTAGAAAATAGTACCTGATGTTCTTAGTGATTTTTCGAAGTTCGATAAAAATTTATGCCTTGTCGAGTCTTAGGAAGGGCAGAGAGCCGAATTTTGAAAAAAAAATCGTATAACAGAAATTATTGAGTGGTAGATTACTTCCTATACAGAGATTTCGCAAGGTTTCAATGAATTTTGTCTTCCAACATTAACGACGTGGGGGTGGGTGGGGTGGGGGGGAGGAGGTGATGGTGGGCACTTCGCCGTGAGAAATACGGAACACTGCTGTTTTGACTGATTTCTTTTCATCTTTTTTAAGTTTTCAATTTAAGTTTATTTCCAAAGATCTGTTTTCAGTGTCTCAGCAAAATTTCAATGACGTTCATTCACTGTTACCGCAAGAGCATTATTTACAGGAGAAAATTGCATTAGCTTCAATCAGCATTTATGAAAAGGACAAGGTAAATTATCAACTTGTGATCAAGCTTACGTTTAAACTTTACCAACTTTATAAATAATGGTGAAAAGGGCGCGTGAGGCAAAGTGGTCAGTGGTGCAACACACATGGTCGTTGGTTCCACCTCGCGCTTTGGGCATGCCAATTCCTCAACCCTTCGCCTCAAAATCGACAAATTGTCATAAGACTAATTTCGGAGAATAAAAATATTGACTTGATTTATTGGTAGATTTCCGAAATTTACTACATAGGGTAATATTATTTAATCATCTACATGATACCTAATGAAGAGGTCTGCGCATTTCTAATGAAAGATTGATCATCATTGAACACTTCATCCTTTGTCCTTTTCATTAGTGGTGGAAGAAGGACGAAGAATTGAATGAAAGAATTACCGGATTCCATATGATATGTGAAGATTACACCTTCCAAATTTCTAACCAAGTAATACTCAAATGGATTCAATGCATTAGGATTTGATCGATCAAGCTATAATGACGCTTGTAGTAGTTTTTCATTCCTTCCAATTAAAATATTTCACATTATTTATGCTTTTTTTCTAGAAGATTCGTTAAAGTGACATTGAAGGTTTGGCAAGAGAAAAACGATTCTTGAAATATGTAGTGAATTTCCCTTTACCACCAAATGCGTTCTCGGCCAGTCGCGTTTGCGTCATTCGCTCTTTATTGGTGTCTACGTTGCGTTCGTCGCTCGCTGACCGAGTTTTCCTTGTGTAGGCAGACAATCGAACGTCAAATCCGTTACTTTTTCATCAGCTTGACAGAGCGGATGATTGTGAACAGAGAATAGGAACCATTCTTTGTTTGCGCTGAAGGATGCATCTTCACATCCAAACGAGATATCATGACACAGTACCCGTAGATAAACGCCATAGCGTATTTTTGACAGTTTTTTATACCTTATTTGGAAATGCTGTTTTGATGACCTCGACCATCCATGTGAGTGAAATCAAAGTGTTCACCAGGAACATCGAAAGTTGCGGCTGACTTTTTGACATACAACCCTTACTTACATGGATACTTGGACGGTCCGTCTTTACGAGCTGTGCGGACCCCAGCACATATGCCATTCGTTCCTTTCTCTTGCAGTCGTAGTCTATGATGGTGGTCTTATTCGACCATGGCAGCGCTTGCGAGTCTCGTACCGTGATCTGTAAAACAACTGCAGCTGCGGGTACAGCTGATTAACTTTGTTTACGAACACGTCCGCCCCACGTGTAGGTGGTCGTCCAAGGAGACGTTTGAATTCTCTTGTAGTCCACTCTACTGTTTTCTTCGTCCATCTGTCGTCTGTTCTTCTCACTAAGCAACTGGCCCATCTGTGTTTCGCTGTCGATGTATATTCTCCTGAATCTCGAAGATATGACAGATTTCGAAGATCAGATCTTCGTATTCCTACTACATATTGAGAGTGCCGGTTATAATTCAGAACACATCGCTCAAGCGCTCTGAGAGTAGTTCGAAGCATTGTTGATGTAGTTGAAGTATCAACCCACGTCTCTGCAGCACAACAGAGCGCTGGGAGGACCGTAGAATCAAAGAGATTAGCATGGATTTTCGGGTCCTTCAGTTGGTCGGAGGCTTCTTTGATTGAGGCCCGAATGCGGCCTAAGCTGCTCTCCTTCTTCTATCTAGTTCCTCCTTCATGTTGTTTTCCGTGCTCATTGATGGGCAAAGGTAAACGTACGAGGCGGTTTCTGCAATGAGAGAGCCATCCAATTCAATTTTTTCGCTTTCGCACCATGGGTTTTTCATGAACTGGGTCTTCTTTCGATTTATGCGAAGTCCGAGCTTTTTACCCGCTTCGTTGAGCTCGTTGATCATCACCTCTGCTTCGCTGGTACTTGTTGAAAAGATAACAACATTGTCGGCAAAACGAAGGTTTGATAGGAATTTTCCATCAACACGTATGCCTTTTTCATCCTAATAGAGCGACTTCATTATCCACTACAGTGCGGCACTGAACAGCTTTGGCGATATCGTGTCGCCCTGTCGAACCCCTTTTCCTATAGGTATTGTAAGAGGTCGATGGAAAAGCTGTATTCTCGCAGTGCAGTTTCGATAACAGTCGTATAGGGTCCTTATGTAGGACCGATCCACTCCTTGGTCGACGAGCGCTGATAGGATTGAATTCGTTTCTACACTGTCAAACGCTTTCTCATAGTCGACAAAGGTTAGG